AAACAACTCACCACTGCCCCTTTGTGTTTGTTACACGCAGGTTGCAATTTTTGTACATGGATATGCCGGTCCATGTACAAACACTTTGCTCAAGTACTCGAGCTATCTAATCTCTTGCCAAAGTAGTCACGTTGAGGAAATACAGGTGTCATGAGCAAGCTCAATCTACCCCGACATAATGTCGCCCAACCACACTACTAAGGCTCTGTTGATTCGGCAACAGCACCTAGGGGACGTAATTGGTAGTCCGAAAAACACAGATTATATTAATTGACAAGACTTTATTTCAGTGGTCACAGACACCCACTGTGATAAGTTGAGCATACACTCAACCATGTTGGAAAATCGCTTCAAAATTAAAGAAAGGGCAGTGACGACTTCGCACTCCATTGGCTAGATAGACCGTAGTCTAACTCTCATTCATCATTCATCGTTCATCTTACATCGGTTCCCCATTATCACACATCCATCAATCACAATCCATCAATCACTCCATTCTCTTTATAGAATTCAAAGTAGACATCAGAAACATCGACCATCTTCGTTTACCAATTCTTCACATTATCAGCTCAATTCCAACATTTTATTAATCCACAGTCATGCTCTGTAATTTGTACCGCTCCTTGCATCTAGGAACGATAACAGAAATGTATCTTGAAAATTTATATTTCACCGTGTATCAGTCTTTTAACCAAGCACCCCCTTCCTGCGATTTAGGTTTCAACCACAGCCACTACGTGGACCCCGAAGGAACCTCAACCAACTGACCAGCCAGGACAACTCCTGTGGGCAACTGGCCACCCGTAGTTCCAGATTATGTGGTGCTCTGGTTAGACCTCTTTCCAATTTATGCAAGGACTAGTCCAGGCAGTAAATTGTCAACACCAATTTATAGTCCCGGAAGATACAGGTATTGGTAGCACCTATCTACCCCCGGATTGCAATACACCAAGATGCGGTCTGAACATCAAGGAAACATGCCCGGGGGGGCTGACTTCAGCCATATTCCAAATATCACCCTGTTGTTTATAGTGGAGCATTCCTTTTACGGCGTACGTTTTGATGGTGGGTATATGAGATTCGGCACAGCCGACGCTCCACAAAGACCACAGACGTTCTTACTTGTTTTAAATTGTAATGTTTCTCTTAAAGATATGTATATATACAATATGAGAATAATTTGCTAGGTTTTTTGATTCCGCGTCTAACGATGTACTAAACTTGCAAAATTGTGCATAGTTTCTTTATGAGTAGACAGTTATTTAATCATTGAATTGAATTTAAAAACCTTTCAAATAATACCTCTGAGTCGAATATTCTAATGAACGCATGGTTCTTCATCATTCTTTCTGTAAATTCATGCATCTAGTAAACAAATTCCACATTTTTTATTTCTAATTTTCTAAATATGATTTCTCCTTCTGAATGTGTGGCAACGTTTTTCCTTATTTGTTTACACAAAAATAAATTTCAATAATTCTTATTTACGTCAAAAAACTTTTCATTGAGTTTTTTGTTTTCTTTATATCACGATTTTAAGTCAAGGCTTCTAAATTATGTCTGAAAAAATAACTGGAAATATGTGTTAGTAACAAAAATGTAATTGTATTGGTGCATTCTAAACACACAGAGTTTTATAAAAAATTACAACTTTAAATTTGTTTGAATTTTCAATACCAAAAATTTAAACTCTCTAAAATAAAATTCAACGACAACAAATATGAAATGTCAATAATTAAACAACAAATTTTTTTCCAGTTCAAGAAAATTAAACAAAATTCTAAATCAGAAGTGCGTTAAAACTATTTTAAAAAATTGCAGATTTTGTAGATAACTGCAATTTCACGTACGATCCTAGAAAGTGGTAAAAAAGTAAGTTAAACATTTGAGTATTTTGACAAGTTCAAATTTCTCACAAGAGAGTCGAATTCATACGGCACTCGTAGATGTGAGAGAGTAATTTCTTATATGTAAGAGTCGGACTACTTGTTATACTTTGCTTCATACCATTTAGGAACTTATTCTTAACTTATTCTTAAATATTATTAACTTTTGTCGATGAAAACAGTTCATAATATTTATGATGAAACTTTTTTCTGTGTACATACATACATACATACATACATACATACATACATACATACATACATACATACATACATACAGACATACATACATACATACACACATACATACATACATCATACATACATACATACATACATACATACATACATACATACATACATACTACATACATACATACATACATACATACATACATCATACATACATACATACATACATACATACAACATACATACATACATACATACTACTACATACATACATACATCTACATACATACATACATACATACATACATACATACATACATACATACATACATACATACATACATACATACACATACATACATACATACACATACATACTACATACATACATACATACATCTACATACATACATACATACATACATACTACATACATACATACATACATACATACATACATACATACATACATACATACATACATACATACATACATACATACATACATACATACATACATACATACATACATACATACATACATACATACATACATACATACCTACATACATACATACATACATCTACATACATACATACATACATACATACATTACATACCATACATACATACATACATACATACATACATACATACATACATACATACATACATACATACATACATACATACATACATACATACATACATACATACATACATACATATGGGGAATTTCATGTCAAGTGACCCAACTAAAAAACTATTTAGACGATGGCCTAAGCTTTCTTTTGAGTAAAAAATTAACAAAAACGTCCATTTTCAAAAAATAGTAGAAAATTTATTGAAAAAAATTTATTCTTGAGTTAAAAAATATTTTTTTTGCTGGATATTCCACTCGCATCCCATTATAGGACTATAAAGCACTTCAAGGAAATTGTATGTATAAGCTTTCTTTTAAGCAAAAAAAAAAAAACCATTATGAAAAAAGTTATATTAAAAAAAATTATAAACAACGAGTTAGAATGCTATATTCGGCTATGCCGAATCTTAAATACCCTCCACCTGCAAGCGACATTTTTTTTTTATAAAACCCAATATAAATATGTTATTAGATACTATTTATCATTTTGTAACTTCTTTATGCATGTATGTATGTAACTAATTTTGATTAGGCCCAGAAACATTTGTATTAAGTGATTTTCAGATACCGACCGATTATTCTATGACCTATTATTTACCGATCCTGCCGATAACTTATATGGGAACTATGACCAATAATGGACCAATTCGAAAAAAAATAATCAAAATGATTTATCTATACACAGAATATACTCATGTTGAGTTTAATATAAATTATGTGGTATTAAGTGGTTTTTAGAAGTGAACCTTATATGGGAGCTGTAACGAATTATGGACCGATGTGGAAAATTTTCACGAATGATTTATATATATACATATATGTATACAAATCAAATTCACGCAGAGTTTTACCCTGATAGCTTTATTTATTAATGAATTATGCGCATTTAAGTGATTATCGGATGTGGACCTTATATATGGAAATATGACCAATTATGGACCGATCCGAAAAAAAATTCATATACGCACAAAACATATTCATGTCGAATTTTATCCCGATAGCTTTATTTATTAATGAATTAAGCTTGTTTAAGTGATTTTAGGATGTGGACCTTATATGGGAGCTATTACCAATAGTGGACTGATCCGGAATGACAAACTTATATATACCCTCTATCACCAGGGTATAAAAATTTTGGAAAGAATGAAGAAATAGCTTTCTGAACTCCTTTTGACAATTTTTGCTAGGACCAATAGGTGAAAAGTTACAGTCATTTGAATAAAAATGTCCAACTTTGACCCCTTCTGACTCCGGCAGTTCTTGACCGATAGAGCTGAAAATTTGTGTCTACTATCTCATAGTACTAACCTTGGTGCAAATTTCATCATCGGAAGACATCGATTTTTAAAGTTGACACGAAATTCGGCATATGTATTTATACATACGGCCGTATAAAATTCAATATGGAAAAATTTTATTTTAAATCCATTTAATATTTTTTTAACCAATTTTAATATTTTCTATTTAATATTTCTAATCGTAATGTATACATTACCTATAATTGAAACCTATAATTTGTTATGATAGTTGACAATGGCGTTTATAAAAACGGATAAATTGGACTTTTTACCTTTAATATTTACATGGTTTTGTAGATATGGCCTTGGTTAGTTAGGGCCGTTTGCGTTTAAGGTGACGATATGTACATGCGACAAAACATATTGGAATCTAAATTTGCCTTGATAATTGGTTATTTTTGATCACTTTAGTGGGAGTTTTTGGTATCAAAAGAATAAGAATATCTCATATATTCATTGGTATTTGTGGGCACTTCCAGGATTTAACTAACGATTCTCTGTGGGCTTCCGTCCAACTCCAGTTAATTTATATTATGTTTGACGATATCTTATAAGATTGTAATCAATCAAATGTGGTGGAACTCTGTGTAAATGTTTGCCTTTCGAAGACCTTTCATATGATACCGAAATTGCGTATTGCATATTTTTTTTAAGAAATATGGTTCCAGCTCATCATATGTTGACGTCAGGACAAACATTTTAAACATTATTTCATCGTATGAACAGAATTTTCTTTTTCGGCTGGAACATCATCAACTTCCGTTGTGGGGCCACCCTAATGTACATGTATTATAAGAAATATTACAAATATGTATAACCAAACGGCAGCACCGAATTAGTATATTTAAATCTCAATTTTCAATCTGTGAGAAATACGAAGAGAGTGAGAGCAGTAAGTAGTTGTAGAATCTACAATGTAGATGGAAAAATAGTCAAACAGTTTTTATACATGGACTTGTGTTTGGGTTATGTTTAATTGATTACAGTCGGAACAGTAGATAAGTTGTGTTTACGTTCATATAATTTGTTAAAGTCGCGGTCTTCTGTCTCTTGGTTTGAATATTTTAAACCAACGCAGGTGTAGCTGCAAAATAATCGCTGTCGTTTTGTATAGAATTTCGTGTTGTACGAAGAGAGTCGACCGACAATTGACGGCGCGTGAATTATAAAAATTTAGCTAAAACAAAAATAAATATTGTGCCATACACGTACTAGTGAATAAATATACTTGTTTATTACAATAATAATTATGAAAAAAAATATACATTATACATATTGAAAAAACACTCAGTAATAAAAGCAAATTCAAACGTGAAGAAACCTCACCATATAGGTGCATAAATAATATAACTTAAAAATTACTGTTTGAGAAGGTAGAGAACCCAATAATCTTAGAACAATTTTTTTGGTTATAGGTATTATTCCTTCATTAATGGTATCTATAATCAAAATCCAAACCCCGGAAGTGATTGTGTAGTGAAATAAATCTTTTTTAAGAGGCAATTTAAGAATTTTCGAATACAAAAAGCCAACATAAAAAATCTACAACAATTCCAAGATCACAAAATTCTTCAAATACCTACTATGTATAAAAAACTATGAACAATTATGATAACAATGGGATTTGACATTACGTCTAATATAATCTATATACACATTTATATATACATATGCATGTGTGCATCTACATCTATATATATATGAACGTAGATATGCTTGTATGTATGTATCAGTGTTGCCAGACATGATGGAAAAATTATGCGTATAATAAAGTGTATTACCATATTTATAGACTGTTAATATATTACAGGATATGTATGAATTAACTACTAAGTTTTAAAAACTATTTCTCAAGATAATAAGTATAACCAGCAGTGATATTTATTTCCTCAATTTAGATTGAATTAAAAACTATTACATTTGAAATGTACTGAATTTACGCCAAAATGGCAGCACTGGTATCAACATGTATTTGCTCAGAGAGTCAAAGAGAGCGAGTGAAGAACGAATACCAAGAAACAATTTTTATGATAGATTGGGTATAGTAGTCTCAGTATTTAATTATATCTCCTCGGCAAAATTCACTTGTAGTACATATCTATTATTTTGTTTGAGTTGCCTTCAGAACGTTCATACGTATTGACTTAATCACAAAACGATGATGACCTTTAACATCGTTAATGTGTATGTGTTTTCGATGACTGGCTATTTAAAGTAGCTACTAGTGAATCGGTCGCCTTTTCGATTGACAACTACGATCGTATTCATTGATAGGAAACTCCAACACTAACATTTATTCTTATGTACATAACGTACAGTGTGTTTTTGACAATCATAATGCTAAAAACAGTTGTATATATGCTAAATATGAAACATACTTGTATTTATGCATACATATGTATGTACATACATTTACATAGGTTCATATGTACGTATTTTTATAACATAGGTTCATATGTATGTATGTATTTTTATAAAAACATATATGTATGTATGCACGTATGCAAATTGGTTCCACTTGCTTTTAACAAGTTAAAAAATGAAACGTCTTTAAATTAATGTAGGTATACCTACTCCTCAAAGATAAAAAAGTACATACATATGTATGTATATGAGTTCAAATTTAAGATGTGAAGCGTTGACTTGTTTATTGCACCGTTAAAAACTGGTCAAATCAAGACTAGAGTAGTAGCAAGGCTGTTTCTTTGTTTTCATTAAATGGCAAAATGCTATGATGACTGACGTTTGAATAAGATTTGGTTGGCCTGATCATAAAATTCTCATTGAGAATATTTTACGATAACACTGTGCAACAATTACGAAACATTTTCATCTGCCACTTATCCTTCGAGTTGGAAAATTTTCGGTGTTAAGGAAAAACACAAAAAATCAGTTTTCGAATCTGGAAACCCCTCATTTATGTGTACATATTTCTTTTTAAATCCCATAGCCTTGGCACCAACGGCGTTTGTATAATAATAAGATTAAACATAATGTCTTAACATGAAATTCCAATTCGATAATAATGCATAATTGGATAATATTTGTATTCGGATAAGAATTCTCTGAATTTTGAAAAAAATTAAACGTAGCACAGTGGGGCAGAATGGAAATTTTTTGGAAATAAATCTGGCATTTCTAAACGGCTGATCCGATCGGGATAAAATTTGGCGTGAGCGTAGCCAAGGAGTATTCGAGTTTAAGTTTTGAAGATGAACCCTGCAGATGCCCCAGGGACGGCGCTGTGGCGGCTCAAAGTAGGGTACCTACGACATGTAAAATTTTTAAACTCGTGCCATTTTTTTGTTTTTCACCCAAATACAAAGATTTTTATACTACTTATCTCTTATAATATCCGAGTTATAGGCATTTAAAAATTTAGTGATACAAAATTTACCATACCTTGGTCCGCCTTTTTTTTGAATACCGGGCGTAATTTTGGACCAAATGGACTCAATTTTTTCTTGTTAGTTAGACAACAAAATTTCCAATAATATACAAAAAATTTCAGATCAATATTGTTTACAGATCCAAAAATATACGTTTTTTAATTTAAAAATTCAAAAAATTTTAGATTTTTGGCGTTTTTTTGCCAAAAATGTGTCTTAACTCTTTTATTAATAAAATAAAATTTTTATTAAGGACATATAACAATTTTATAGTTTTCTAAAAGGTATCTTTACGCAGAACGCTTTGGCGTAAAAAACTTGTCCTATTTTTTGAAAATGTTGCCACTGCGTCCTTCCGAATATGACCTATTTTTTATCAAAACTTCATCTTTGGGCGACATGTTCTAAAATCCCAAAGCTGGGATCAGAAAACTGAAAGCAGTTTTGGAAACCTCAATATGTTTTCTATTTACTCCAAAAGTATTTTCCCAGCCCTGAAAGAAATGTGGACCCTATGGGCAAAAAAGTAAAAAAATCCCATTTTTGGGATTTTCATTCCTATTTTTGGGAATTGCGGGATGCCCTTTGACCTTTTCAATTTTTTTTTTTGCATATTCTTATTTGAAATGACAAATTTAACAAGCGTTGAAAATTTCATTGAGTTTTGTTCATAAATAAAGATTTTGTCATATATTACATATTTGTTTAATTTCTAAAACTATGATTTATATCAAAATTTTAATAGGATCGCAGATAGCTACAACAATTTAGTCCATATTTATCCCTTAATATCTTTTTTTAGTTAGATATGGAAATTCTCGACCCTTTACAAAAAATTTTAAGCCAATATCTCAATTACATTCAAAAATATGTTCATTTAAACCTGTGTCCTTTAATTTCATCTTTTTCATATTTTAGTATTAAGTATGACAGAACATACATTTGGTGTTGAATAAAATATTTGGACAATTTTTAAAAATTATTTAGTTAATTATTTTATTATAATATTGTATATAAAATAAAAAAAATTATAATTTTATTATGAGCCACGCACAACAACACCTAAATCACCCCACACAAATTACCTTTCCCGCCCACCGAAATATAAAACACAATTTAATACAATATCATCAGTTAGTATAATAGCTTTTTTTATTTGAACTGTTTATCTTAAACATAATACAATTAATTCTTACAACCTACTTATATAGTTAATTCCTAACACTACTTATTTTCTATAAAATAATCTGTCATATCGGTATACATATCCAGAAGGTAATATAAGTCCTTTAAATCTTCCTTGTTTTGAGATGATAGAGTTTCATAACAAATCCATCTTTTTCGAATAGTTGAAAGAACAGGATCTTCATTCTGGAGCATTTTCTTGAGCTGAATAGTTGAACATGCTTAAAATCTCGATTCCTCCTCGCTTTCTGGGCTTCTTCTGTTAACTCTCCAAGTGGAAGAATATTCGATTCAATTATTATTTGACCATGACACAATACTTTGTGTACTGTTGGTGTTAGTTCCCTCCATGGATACAGAGATACAAGTAATTTAGAAATTTCAGATGTATATTCCCCAAATCGATTTCCATTAATTTTATGTTTACTATTCAGTGCCATTAAAATAGTGTTAACTCTTCGAAGCAACTCCTTGTCGATTCCAGTTATTTTTGAAGTAATTTCAAAATCACGAAAAAACCTTCTCGACGTATTACCGTCATTTGTACTACCGCAACTTGAAAGTGGTTTGTCGATGTTTAATCCCATCTGAACTTTAAATTCTTCTTGGATTCTGCTTTTTTCCGCAGCTCTCAGTTCTTTCAATTCTTCATTATTTTTTGTTGATTTAGTAGGATAGTTTGTTTTTTTTTTCCTGGATCGCCTTGTATGATGGTAATATATTGTGTCCTTTTTCATGCAGAGCTTTCCTTAATATTTGGTACTTATTTCGACTGAGACCCAGTTCCAACATAAGCGCTATTGCTTCCTCTTCAGTAAAATTTGATTATGATGTTGGAGTTGGTATACTTTCCACAATTCGCTTAAGTCGTTTTGGTGATGCATTAGGAAGAATAGTTGCAATATGTACGACATCCATATGTTGGTTTTCCTTTTTCAGCATTTCGTTAAATGTATCAGCAATTTCCTCATTTGAGATTGAAAAAAGTTTTTGTGTGACCCTCTTTTTTTTACCTTGAACATAAGTCTTCGTATGACTTGCAAGGCGCTCCTGTTGATGTGTTGTAAGTTGAGATTTCCGTAGTAGTTTCCATCCAACTACAAAATTTTAATCGAAATTTCTTTTGATTTCCATCCACAGACTTACTTTTTACATCAAAAAGTTTTAAAAAGTTTTCAATTTTTGATATGCCTGTTTTGTCTACTTTTCTACTATATGTAGTTTTTATATAATTTGAAATGTCTTCAATTCTTTCTGGCCCTTTTGAAGACACACTCCATAAAACGGAACACAACTCTTCGTACTTTAATGTAATCTTCATTGTAGATTTATTAAATATGGTACTTAAAATCTGAGAAGTTTACTTATATACCAATTCTTGTCATTTCCGATACAGGTATTCCAAAGTAAAAAATTACGAATTGTCTACCTATTAACATTTAGGACTATATTACTATAACCTGTAATTCAGTCATTGATATTTCTTATTAGTGAATGAATCGAAATTATCATTACCTGTATATTTTTACCTACATGATCATAAACGAAACAGAACGAAATGATCTGTTGAAAAAATTTAGGTAAAAAATAGTTATAAATTTTTGAAAATTTAAGCATAAGCATTATAAGGATAAGCAAACAAATAGAAAATAGGTAAATATAAGATTTAAATATGTGCTGTCATACTTAATACTAAAATATGAAAAAGATGAAATTAAAGGACACAGGTTTAAATGAACATATTTTTGAATGTAATTGAGATATTGGCTTGAAATTTTTTGTAAAGGGTCGAGAATTTC